AACCGTAAGAAAATTGTATTATAAGAGAGGCAAAAGTGTATGGAGTTACCTGACTTTTCATTCTAGGCCTGAGAAAATTACAAAAATGTAGAATTTTAAAAGCTTTTATCATGATTTTGTCAGGCAAAAACTAAAGAACATCAACAACACAACAACAACAACTTCGAAATAGTTCTTGCATACCAAAAGTCTCATTTGGATTCTGTTTCTCATTCTCAGTTGTCAGCTCGTATTGCATTCGGTATCTGTTCTAGATCACTATCAATTAGTAGAAGCTGCTGGCTTATTTCTTCAATTCAAATGCCAAGTCTTCGGCTCATATGAGCTCCCCCAGCGAGTTGGCAAGCCGAGCTAATCTAAACGGCAGTAAGCTATTTATTAATGCTAAAGGCTAACTGTCTGGCGGGTCTTTGGCATTCGTCTATCACGGCTGCTGCTGTTGTTGGGGATTTGATTTGGCTTTGCTTCTTTTTTTTTATTTAATTGAAATGAATTCATTAAGCCTTTGATTTGCCTTGCAAATGGATGGAAAAAAAAACAGGGGGAAAAATAAAAACAGTTCCATGATGCCTCTGACTTTACCTTTGACGTCGCTGAGCTGGGCTCAGCTCTCGACTTGACTCGAGGCCCGGCTAATGGAGTGCACATCAAAGCGCGGCAAGGTTTTAACTGGGCTCGGGCCGCCGTCATGGCAGTTCGTTTAACAATAATTTAAGTTGAATTAAATATATACGAAAATTAACTGCAGCAACAGTTGCTGTGCTGCAGTGTTGCTCCAATTCGTTGCAGTCTACTCTGTGCAACTGTTGCACGTTTTGCATGTCAAGAAAATTGCTTCATTTACGTCCGCGCCGAATGTCAACCACGAACATGATAAACCGAGACCCAAAGCGGACATAATGAGTGACTTATAGGACTCGCCAGACGTCAGGGCAACGTATGAGCGGCGAGCATTTTAAAGTAGTTCAAAAAAAAAAGAAACAGCCATGAAAAGCCTAATGGAAAACCAAGAGCATTTTGCAAAATTTTAATTATTTCCCGAGGCTCTTTGAAAACGATTTTAAAGCTGACAATATGTGTGCTATTTAATACCCTGTAAGATGGGTAATAAAGAAAAATTTGTATACATAAATGTCATAGATCGGACAATAATGACAAATGCAACTTTAATTTCAAAAAGATATATTTTTTAATTAATTAAAGATTTTCAGTGAATTTTAGTAACGAATTATAGCAATTATTCTTCATATTTTCGAGAAAAAAGTAGTTTATAGTAATATAATTACAAAAATTTTAAATAAAACCATTCAATTAACATTATATTAAAATGTTCTTAAATTAATTCAATACAAATTTCAAAGGTTTGAAATCACAGAATCCTTTTCTAATAGCTTTGATTTTTAAAACAGGTTATTTTAATTATGAATGATTTTAATGAAAATTTAATAACAAATTTTAAGTAGAATATTCACAAAGTATTTAACAAATAACCTTCGCTTTAATTATATCTATATATATATCATATTTTATAAATAAAGCCCAGACTATTCGCATTGCCGGATCCGACCCTTTTTTTGGCCGAAGAAACTGTTCTAGACACTTGGCCACATAAACTTTTCAATTTGCTTGCAACAACAAACGGGTCAGTTGAAGCAACTGGCGAGTTATGGTTACGTGACTGGGCTGAAATAAAAACTTTGGGCCAAGTCTTGTTCGAGCGGCAAATTAAAATTGTTCAAAGTGGTGCCTCACAAGCTGCCGCCGGCCCACGTTTAGCTCCTTAGAACATCATAAGCTAATGGCACGTGCTTATCGAGCATATCAGTTCAGCAGCTCAAGCATTTTGTCACCATTGAGTGGGTTTTTCATCCCCGATGAGGCGACGATAAGTGTGCTACGAAAAAATGTGGAAAATCAAAAAAATAAGGAAAAATAATAATAATTGAATTTTATCGCAACAAAACTTGCAGATAGCAGCAAAAACAAAAGAAAGAAAGAGAACAAATGTTGGTGTGAAATTGTTGCAAATTGAAATTTATGAGTTTTATATTTGCGTTTTGTTAACTGTTTGCTTTGCTTTGCTGGCCATAGGCTAAATGCTTGACCAATAAATTCAAATTCTATGGGCCGCATAGCAATTATGCAATTGTTTGTGCTGCAAATAAAATGAAGCCAAGTGTATCCGTTGGATGCAAATACTTTTGGCCAGCAGGAAGACAGCAGAGCCAGTAGCTGCTGCAAATATCCAAAAACCAAACCAAGGCACCACCACCAAGCGCGTTCTGCCAGTCTAAAAACTCCAAATCGATATGCAAATAAACGAATGAGGCGTACACACAAATCGCAAAACGAGCTGAACTGAGCTGAGCCGCTGTTGAGGAGATGCCACGCCCCCTTCAAACCCTGCTCCCTCCATGGCACTCGAAAGCCGTTTTGACCAAATTCGTCGCTGGCTCTGTGTACCTGAGAAGACGGCAACTGTGGCTACTATTATAACTGCCTGATGCTGTTTGAGCCAAAGCCAAAGCCAAAGCCAGAAAGCCTGAGCATTTGCTTTGGTGGTCCACTCCTGGCCATGGCTTTTTGCTATTGCTACCAATTGTGCATGCAATTTATTTTTAAAGAAATAATTGCTTTGCCGTTTCTCTACCAGCGATTATGCAAATATTAGTATTTGTTGTTGCTGTTGTCCTACTCCACTCCTAACCAAATAACTCGGCATAATAATAATACCCGTACTTGCCGTTCAAGCAAGTGAAAGAGTCCGTTTGCCACGTTTGCATATCATCGAATTTGAATATGCCACACACAATGCGAATCCTTTACACAAATTTCACATAAATCAATAAACGACAAAATTACATTTTTCTGGTTCTTAATCTTTAGTAATTGTCGCTGGCATTTTTGTTGACTGCCTGAAAGTATGTGGCAAATATTTCGGACAAAATGCAAAAGATGTGGACTTGAATTTACATAAATAATGTGTGCAAATGTATATAACTAAAGCGATACTCAGCAATGGCATTTTATATAATATTTAAAGTTTATTAATTGAAATGCTGGATTCTGCATTCAAGCATATTTATCATTTTTGCCTAGTTCTCGTTTGTGGGATATACTTGAAAGTTTAATTGGACGTGCTTAAAAACAAATTCCTTAAGTAACTGAATCTGAAATAGAAAATGGCACAAGTTAGAAATAAATCTAAAAGGTATATATATTTGATATACTTAAGTGTTGTACTAGATACACTTGCAACATAAGACGAATTAATTGTTGCTTCAGATTTTCATCAAGTCCTTGAACATTTTAGCCCTTTTTCTAATTCAAATTAAGACTCTGAAGTAGGGGAAAAAAATGTATGAAAAATCGCTATCACTTTGCTTACAAAACAAAATATACTTATTCTCCTGCCTTGTCAAGGATTCGAAATGGTAATAAATTCTTCTAGTGGTCGGCTTTAATAGAGAAAATTAAATGGTGTTTATAATTACATAGAACTTTTAACGGAATTCCAAATACCTGAAGTTCAATTTAAACCTCTTACATTTACTTTTAATTATTTTTAATTTCATTTCATTTTTTCACACATCCATCTGTATTTGCCAATTCCACGCTTGAGCTGAAAACCCACACACACATTCAACTTATAACACGTCAAACTCCAAGCCCTAAGTTCAACTTGAAAACTTTCTGAGGGCAGATAAAAAAAAACATGCCACAGTTGTGGCATTTTTCTGTTTCTCTCTGCCGTCTTTTTGGTTAATGAAAGTGGCAGTAAATTAAATTGGCATCACGTTATTATTCTTCTGCTTCTTTGTTGCTTATTTTGTTGTTGCTGTTGGACAGGCATGTGGGCCTCGCAAAAGTTTATCTTATAAAACAACAACAAGCACTTAAGTGTTATATGCCACCGTATTACAACTGTCGAACCGTACCGAACAGAAAGAACCCAAGTCGCGCTCAGAACGACCCAAAATGCAACGTAGCATAAATGAAGAAAGCTGATAAGAAAAAGTAACATACAAAAAAAAAAAGGCAAAAAGGGCGGCTCTCTATAGCTATCCGAATATTTAATACCCTTGTGCCTTGTGTGAGAAAATTTTGTGATACTTTTAATTACTAAAGATATCTTGGACAACAACAAAATTGTCCGTATAAAAACCTATTTCTCGACCTATCTTTCCTATATTGATAAGAGTTAACTTAGATTTAGTAGCATATAGAAAATAACTAATACTTTAAAAACAAACAAATTTGTCATCTAAGATATTAATGTTCGACCAATCGTTCTTATGGCAGCTATTTTTATAGCGGTCCAATATTAACGATGAGACGCCTTTGAATATAAACAGACCGACGAACATGGACATGTACACCGGGGTCGGAGATGTCTGTTTCAATGCGTTACACATTTGATAACACAGTTATAATACCTTTTGCAAGGCTATAATAAGGCAGCTAAAAAGGCTGCACGAAAATTGCTGCCCGCATAAAAGACTTCGCTTAAAGGAAGACGAACAGCCACAGAGCAGCCAGAAAGTAATAATAAAATAAAACAGAAATTGAATGTTGCGATTCGTTTGGCGTGGCGGTGTTCCAGGTGACAAGCAATTCCCTACAGGTGCTGGCCAGCAGTTAACGGTGTAGTATGTGTGTGTGCGTGTGTCCGTGCGTTTGTGTGTGCCAACCATATTAGCAATTGCCCTTAGCGCTATAAAACAAGCCAAACATTTTGACATGGGTTAGTGGCAGCATCGCCCAACAAAAAATGTGGGTAGGTGAAAATGAGGTGTAGCCCCACAAATCCCAGCGGATTGCCAATCGCCATGACCCTTTCTGCGCCTGGGTGTTGCACCCATGTCATGCCTCTGACAACTGGCGTTAACAAAGCTGGAAAGAAAGTCTGAGCTACAGTCAAAAATCATAACGTATCATATCATATCATACATACGTTTTTAATGAGTTGCAGTTTTTTTTTTTTTTTTGTTTTTCCTCCGAATTTCATGCCAACCCGATATCCAATATTGCATTTCCGTTCATCATCTTTTGCTTCTCTTATCTGCGGCACATTCACCACAGGTTGGCTACTTATCAAAGCGAGCCTCAGCGTGCCTGTCAGAGTGTTTATGATATGTTTGCCCTTAAGTTGAAAGTGCCAAAAGATATGAAATGCCGTCTGTAGGTTTCGCGCTGCCAATTAGCAGTATCTGCTGGGGCCATTGGCATGCAAATATTTATAAAGTTGAAGAGCGACTTCAAGTGGGTCCCCAACTTCCGTCACACAATAAATTCATAACAAGCCAGTAGAGTTCTCTAGGCGAGTGGCACCGACTAGCAAATACCCTCCTGCTATTGTTTACTGTTTACTTTCATGGCTTCAAGATGGTATTTAAATTTATGCTTAAAATTATAGTAAAATGATATAGTGAAAATTTCGAAAATATTCATCAAATATTGTGGAACTTTATGCCAATAAACTACATACCAAAATTTAATGTCTCTCGCTCTAATAAACTCAAAGGCATAGTTGAATGATCGATATTTATCGATTGCGAAGAAACATTCAGGGAGCTGTTTGAAATAAACTTGTAGATCCCACATTCAAAATGTAGCTCGCTGGGATTGATCCAATCCTACAGAGCAGCATGTCTAGATTGGCTCAGCTGTTGCTGCTGATCAGGAATATATATAAACCGTAAATCGTGGATGGCTTCTACAATATACCCTTGTTCTTACCATGTTCGATGGGTAGAGGATTTAATCAAACACGCATACACACTATCTTCTCGCGTGTGTGTGTGTGACATGCGACATTATAATGCCACATTATGTTGCCAGTGCGTGAAAGAACCGTACATCAGAGCATAACATCCATAAATCAAAATCCACAAACACATGCGACGTTGTCTATGCTCTGCGCTGCGCTGCGCTGCCTGCGTGTGTGTTGCTTGTTTGTATCTGCTGCGAGTATTCGCAAAATTATTACACTTGACATGATTGAATATACCGCTGAGTATGAGAGTACATACCTACATAACGATATACATACTAACATGCACAAGAGGTACCAGTCGCGAGCGCTGCTGGACATTGGTCCACTCACATCGCCCGTGCCCTCCAAGTGTCCGCGCGACTCTTTACGAATGCTGCTGCTGCTCTGTGGCTGCGGCTGAACATAGTTTTTGCGCTGTCCCAGTGGGCAATTCCCGTTTCTCTGCTTGTATGTACTAAGTTGACATGGCGCATAAATGTAAGTGGCTACAATGTTGTTTAGTACACAGTACACTGTACATAATATTCAATTAAAATGCTTTAAAAGAGAAATTTAATAAACAGCAAATCAGACCGTCGTTCCAATTGGCAAAGGTGGCCGTAGGTATCGATAACGGCTGGTTGACTTAACGAAGCTGCAAGCAAACTTGGTTAAGAGAAGAAAGGAACTTTAAATTGCTGAAGCATTTTTAATGCATAAATTTGTTTAATATTTCATGAGCAATTTTATAAAATAGTATCTTTAGATATCCAGCCACACAATAGCCATTGAGTATCTTGTCGCCTGTCACTGATCCGTTCGATACTTATGTGGAATCAATTACTAGCGATACTTCTTCGTTAACTTATTCGATACTTGCCAAAATGTTTATTTTTCAACTGTTGCTTCGGCTTGTCTGCAAATGGAAATACTATTTATGAAATACTTGTCACACAAGTTTTTTAAACTTTCAAATCAATACACACAAACACAAGCAACACAACACAACACAACACAACACACCAGCACACTCCGTCAAAATTCCACCAAATTTGTTCAAAATTGCGCCAAGCTTTGGTGAGTTCAATGCAACTATTAAATTATAATATATTGAAAGGGTATTCTTTTAGTTGCCATGTGTCTGGAGACCATACCGACCAATAACAAGACGCTGGCTCTGATCAACCAAGGCTACAAGGTGCTAGCCGAGTACCAAATGATCGAGCAGAAGCAGTTAAAGGGCATCTATGCGATACCCAGCTATTCCAGCGGCTTGCTTTGGTTCGGTGTGATCTTCATACACAGCGGCTTGTATGCGGAGAGCGTGTTCCGCTTTTCCATATTGCTGCCAGATCAGTTTCCCGAGGAATCCAGTTTGCCCACGGTCATCTTTCAGAAGGACATCTTCCATCCACACATTTGCCCGGTGTCGCACAGTCTTGATCTGGCGCCCCTCTTGAAAGAGTGGAAAAAAGATCAGCATCATATCTGGCATATACTCAAATACATTCAGGCGATATTTGCCGATCCCGAAGGCAGTGTCTGCAGTACCCAAAACGGCGACCCCATTCCACTAACTGAGGTTAACAACATGGAGGCCATGCGTTTGTTAGCTAACAATCGCGTAGACTTTGCGCTCCGTGCCAAAGTTAGTATTCTTTGGAGCTGCCAGCATATGTTTGATGAGCCGCCCATCAAGGATCCACACTACATAATCTTCGAGCGCTATTGCCCGGAAAAGCATCAGACCATGATGGAACGCCTCAAGAGTCGCAGCTGGTACGAGCTATCGGCCCCAAAGACCCCAAAGCGTTCAGTGTGTGTGGCTCGTATGGATTCTGCCCGACAATTGCTTGAGGACGAAGAGGCGCAAGTGGTCAATGCTGCTGGCAGCAGTCTGAATTAGCGGAGTAAGCTCTCGACTAGAACATTTTGGCATTCTTAAAGCAATTCGTGTGCACCTAATGGCAATGCAAAAAGAATGCTCTAGTCGAGAAACGCACGCTACACACCGTTCTACAATACATACAAAGTGTGTTAATTATGTTATGTATATTTGGAATAAGGTCTTGATCCGAAAACTTGTGTGCTTACAATAAGAAATTTTGAAAAACAACGATCAGCACTTTTTTCTTATGAAGTTATCGATTTATGTTTTTCGCAATCGATACCAATACCCCCACTAACATTGCACCTAACAGCGATACTACAGCAGCAACTACGTAGTGAAATGCAGCTCACGAATTTGCGCGTCGGGTTTTCGCTGTGCTATAAAAATTAATAAATGTTTAATAACGTAAGTGGTAATTAGTGGACAATATAAAGTGTGTAATTAGCTAATCAAAGAACGTTTAGTGTGTGTGTAATTATATAATATGTGTATTTTAGGGTGTGTGTGCTAAATTACGTGTGCGGTTAGCGCCAAAGCCAGCATTTCCAATTGGGTATGTATGTATGTATGTCTATATGCGTGTGTGTGAATATTTGCATACATGCATTGTTAAAGCAACATTTTGGCGTTAAATATATTTAAGAATAATGTTTAGTTCTGTAAAAGTTCTGTATTAATCAATTATTGTTTTACATTAAATACAAGCATTCAACATGTTGTTGTTGTTGGTTTGCCCGAAGCCCTATTGGCGGCCCAGACAGACGCCATAACACAAACGGCGTGTTTAATGTCTTTTGCATTTGTGGTAAACTAACGATTGTGTACGTAGTCGTGGGTACATATGTATGTATGTACAATTCGAAATTATAGAGCATGCATATGTATATATTCCACAATTGGAATTGATTGCCATCAACATTACCTCACTTTCTTGCAGTGCACGCATGACAACCTGCTGCTAATTTTCTTATTGGAACTTCACCCCAGTTGGCTCTTTGTCAATTTTGGGTGTTTGCTGCAATTTTTGTTTACAATAATTGTAACACTCTTCCCAATGAAAATCAGACTATATTGGTTTTGTGCTTTGTCCGTTTAACTATCCCTATACAGCTATGATAAGTACACTGAGCACAGAGTCTCTTCACTATTACACGTTCACACTATAGGCAGTCCGATTCGAACTGTTTTTTGCTGTGTTCAACTGGGAACAGCATCGCTTTACTTTTTTTTCCAACTCCAGCAGCAGAAGCTCCAACTGCTCCTAGCTGTTTTTAAGCTGGGAACAGAGCACCGCACAGCCGAGACCTTTCGACTGCAGCCTTGTTTTGTTATGTGTGCCCACCTTTTTTTTACCTGCCCCGGCCTTTCTGCGGCTGTCCGCTGTTTTGCCTGTTGCACTGCATTAATGCTGTTAATAATGTCATCTTCCACATGCAATAATCAAAATTATAATAATTATGGAGCCTGCTGCTGCACCACAAGCGTCATACATTCACCGTTACAGATTGTGGCAGCCTGCAATATGGCAGCTTGCAACTGGCATACCGAAATATTAAAAGCCTGTCTCTTTGCATGCGTTGGGTTGCACGAATTGCACGGGCTCCCCACTTGGTGGTAGCTGTCTTCAGCTGCTGCAAAATATACAAAAGTGACAATTTGATTTATCACTGCACTTTGTCCTGCTGCAGTGACTGTGAGGGGGAGGGAGGGAGAGAATCGGGTGAGTCTCTGGCTCTGGCCTTGGCAGCGCTGCTCGTTAGCCAGTTGGTTGCGTATCCAAAAATCGTTCATGAAATTATGGATGCGAGTGCAATGTGCCATATTTTAGGCCATTTATGGCTGGGCTCTTAACTGCGCTCAGCCAAGTGGGCGACGACGCCACAAATTTTGAATACAGTGAAGACTCTTCTTAGGGACAACTTTATTGAATGAACAACTGTTTTAGTCAATACATTGTTTTCAGTTGCCAAATTATTTGCTTACACTTGCGACATTTTTTTGGGTGTAACTATTTAACCTGAACTGGGTTGTCCTTGCAAGCGAGCTTCTACTGTAGGTGCAATACATATCTTTATATATGTGAGCAGCTCTGCCTTTCCAAATACATGAACATGCACATGCTAAGTTGACAACATGGGAAATGCGCACCAAACATTTTCGGTGGTCCACATTTCAATGGCCTCGACTCAATTTCACTCGACTCTCTGTCTGACAGCCCGTTTGGTAAAGCTTTCTGTTTTGCGGGCGTAAAATAGATAATACATGAAAATCAGAAGCCATATAAATCAACGTAGCTTTAATAATCTGGTCAAATAAAGAACGACTGTAGTGTGACAGTAGTTCGGCGCTGGATTTAGGGTATCTTTTAGTCGAGAACTCTCAACTTCCTTGTTGTGATAGATAGTAGTTGTTTATTGTAAAATAACTGATTCTTGGACCGAAAATGAATATGAATTATTTAAGCATTCATGTAGCCTTAAAACTGCAGAAAATTTATCTTTGCTATCTCTACAAGATGATCTAAAATTCAAGCACATCCGGTTGGGAGGCGCTTGTTGCCAGATTGAGACTATTCGTTGGCTTTGTTTCAGCTTTATTTGTGGGGCGTTGCGCTTAAATTAAGACATATCGCATACAATTCTACGCAAGGCGTTAAGAAACAGAACAAGAAGAAAAACATTAACAATTAAGTTGTAATAAATTTAAGCGCTGCGTGGGCTGAACTTGAACTCGACTGAAGAGTTGGGTTGGTTTTTTATTTTATTTTTTCTTTATGTGGTTTTCAGCTACAATTAAAAAGCGATAAAAATTGTTTCAAGCTGCGCGGCCATAACACGTGACAAAGTCTAAAGTATATATAAAGGCCATTGTTATTTTTATTGATTTTTTTTAATTTTGGGTCTGGTCTCAGCTTCAATCCCTGGTGAAATCGGTGTATATATATGCCCCCGCTGTTGCAGTTATCAACAGACATCAAAACAATTGCCACCATCGATGCTGTTCAAGGAGTTGGAATCGGCGATTCGTTTCGTTACGTTTCGTATCGTTTTGTCTGACAAGTTGTCGGTTTAACTAAACCCAAAAAGCCGGACTCGTATTCAAGTTCAATTGCAGCAACAGGTAAAACGCGCGCGGCACTCGCTGAATGGCCTGTGGGCAGAGCTTGAGCTACAGTTTTGGCTTTGGCAGCGTTTCGATTTCCTTGGAAAACCGCTAGAGACTTTGGCCCGGCTCTGCGACTGCTTAGCATTTGCCTGGGCCAAGACGTCGTCGGGGACACAGATTGGTATTTATATGCAAGTTCATGGCATGGCCGAAGCGCGCACACACATCATCATCGATTATAATCGAAATGGGATTGTAAATCAAATCGCATTCAATGGTAGTGACTTTAAAATGGGCTTCATTATCGCCAATGCCGGTGCCGCAGTTTGCAGTTTGCAGTTGCAGTCGCAGTCGCTGTCGCAGTTGCAATCACCGCCGTCGCCTGCCTTTGCCCATTGTCGGTGGCAACTGCTGCTGCCGCCGTCGCAGACGTTGCCGTCGTCGAAGTGACATTCAATGCCATAATTTATGAGTTTATCTTTTTCGCGCCGCCAAATCGTACGCTAAATGCTGTCTGGCCAGACCAGGACAGGACAGAGCACAGCAAAGCACGGACCAGAACAGAACAGAACAGAACCCGATCCATACCAGACCAGACCATATGCCCCATTCGTCTGTTCGTTCCATTGGTTTCGCATATGCAAACAAACGGCTAACAAAACCAAAACGTGCGCATATTTTATGGCGCTGCGAATCCCATTTGTATTGGTATTGGTAATGGTAATGGTAATGGTATTCCTATTCCTATTGCTATTGCTATTGCTATTGCTATGGCTAGAACTGTTGCTGTTGCTGTATCTGTAGCTATTGGATTTCTAGCCATACACGTATCTATACGATTTCTGACTTTGCTCAACGCCGCCGCCGCCGTCGACGTCGATCGTTTAATGTCGGGCAATTAAAATTGGAGTTTTCTCTGGTTGTTGCGATATTTGTTGCCTTCTTTTTTTTATGAGTTATGGGCCGCGCTGACAGCGCCCTGCATAGCCGTGAGGTTCAATGGGGTTGGGTTGGGTGTTAGTAAAAAGTGCCTCAGCTGCAGTCAATTGTTGTCATTGCAATTGCCAGGCGATGTGTGTGAAATATGTCGAAAAATATCAACACAATTGTTATGCAAAGGCATTGAAAAATGAATAATAACGAAATTTTGATTAGGTTCCGTTCAATTGACAACACCTAGATGTGTCACATGATATTGTTGTGTTTTTATCTGGCTATGTATTTTCATATTTTTAAATACTTTAAATCCATAAAAGGATTCTTTGCGAGACACAGGTCTTTACTTGGTTGAATTGATTATAATAAAATTGTTTGATTTCGATATTTTATTTTAATAATAGTAGTTTTAAGAGAGTCTTACAAGCTTTGTATTTGGGAGCAGTAAGAGCTGTAAGCTTGCTGATTAAGCCCTGATTTGAGCTGGGCAGACTAGCACTTCTACTCAGAAGTTTCCTCCTAATTAATTATTTATTTCCTGAGAACTTCAATTCAGATCAATTGCACTTAACTTAACTACATTGCACTTATTTCATTGATTTAACTCCATATTTGTCCACATTTAAATGAATGCATTCCCAACGGACAAAGCTTAAACGTTTTCGAATTCCTTTCAACTTGAGAATTATTTATTTCTATAATTTAATACATTTTCGCTGTTGAATTCCCTTAAACATGCTCTATTATTTTCAAATTATTAAAGTTCATTCAATTATCCAACACTATTTTAATACTATATGCGCATACTTACGTCGCATTCCAATGTTGGTTGCACTGATTTCCGTTTAGAGCCCATTTCACGGGACACAGCTTGCCACATTCCACCGCACGTTTGCCACAAAGTGCCGACCAGTTCAGTTTTTGGTATCGCATCAAGCGGAGCGGCGCACAAGTTGCTCACTTCTTTTCAATTTCAACGCACTTGGCCATGTAATCACAACCGCCTAATTCTAAACCGTTTTTCATGGCCGAAATGCGAACCGGTTGGCCAACTTTAACTAATACATCATTATGCTGGCATGTTGCAGGCTGTTGTTGTTGCTGTTGCTGTTGCAGTTGCTGTAACTGCGCTGCAGTTGTTGTTCGTAATAATCAATTACGCGTCAGGCACGATCTTGACGCGA